TCCGCCCCCGCCTCCCGTCCTCTCCTCCGCCCCCCTTGGCTTGGCCCTGGTCCCGCCCCCGTATGCGCGGGCATGTATGAACTCGACCGAGTCCTTCGTCCTCGGTGCCGCCGCCGCGCGCCTAGCTTGCCAGTTGTTTGGGGCCTTGACTTTTCGCACGAGTAGTGCGACGGCAAGGAGACAGCCCGCGCCAGCTGAATCGACATGCCTGTTCTGGCAGGTGTGAGGCGGCAGGGCTCTGGGGGGCGGCAGGAAGCTATGCGAAGAGGGGGAGGAGGGGGGGGGGTAGAGTAGGGTGTCATGCGGTGACTGATTCCTGAACCACACTACCATGTATGCGACGGTCACCATCACGCCGTTGCCTCGAAACGTTCATCTTTTAGAGTAGTTTTCCTTAGATAACGCTGCGATTGTGTTGTCACATTGTCAGCGTCACCTGCTCCTGTCGGAGTCGCGTGGCGTTGCGGGGGAGGAAGGGGGCAGTGCCACTTGCACTAGTGCACTAGATAAAGGGACGGTGAAGGTGGAGCGCGCTACGCCGGTGTCTGCCTGACAGTCCTACCCGTTGTCTCCAGGCCCCGGAGCGGGCCTCTGGGAGCTAGCGCGTTCGGAGAGCTCCCCGGAAGCTCCTTCTAAATCTGCTAAAACAGGGTGGTGAGGGAGTGGTCATGGAAGAACGCTTTGCGGGAGCTCTCCGATCGCCCTCCTGGGGCTTCGGGGCGGCGCGGCGGCGGCGGCCAGCAGCGACTTGGGACGTCTGGTTTGGGGCCGGTCTGTTATCGGCGAGCGCTGGCCGCGCCGGGTGGGGGTTGGGAGCCCCTGGCTATTGTGGGCTTATCACCCGCACGGCACAGGTGGTGTGGCCCGGCGTGGCGTTGCCCGCGGGGCAGCAGCAGCAGCAGCGGCGGTGACACGGCACGCACTGCGCCCGTCGTGGCGGTGTTTGGCCACATGGACAGTGGGGGAGATGACAGGGTGCTTCCCTCGCCCAGTGTAGTAGACTTGGAGGTTGACTTCCTCCACAATCATCCTCCTCCAGCAGCCGGTGCCGGTGGTAGCGGCGCTTCTTCAGAGGACGGTTTACGTACCCGGTCTTATTGAAACCCCCCGGCGACGCGTCCGAAAGAAGCGGTCGTCAGCGTCAGGCTGTCTCGGTCTGTGAGTGTGAACGAAGGAGGACGACAGAATGCATACCCCAGACCGGCCGGCCTGCTAGCCCTGCTGCTGGGCTGGCCAGCCTGCAGCGCCTGCAGCCTGCTGGGCCTGCTGCAGGGGCGCTGGCCGCAGGCCGCTGGCCTGGTCGAGCTGCCCGCGAGGCAAACTGCTGCGCTTGTCGGAATGGTCGTTGGCGTTGCGCGACCACCGCTTGCGGTGGTATGTCTGACCGAGGGGCCGTCTCTCAACTCCTACTGTTGGACGCGTCACGATATGTAGGCGATTTAGACTCGTTTCTTCTGTAGGTGGGCTAACCTAGTAGTAATGCTCGCAGTGTTTGTTGCTAAAACTGATCTTTTGTTTTCTGTTCTTTTGTTACAGGGTATTTCTTTGACAATCCTGAGACTGTGGAACTACGACTTGAACCTGGCATATGGTAAGCTATTGCACCTACCCTGTGAAATAACTCTCATAAGAAATTATTGTGTCTTATCTATCCCTCTTTCCTTGTCCTTTCAGCTCAAAGAATGAAGAGGTTGATAATAACTGTGTAGTAAGAGCTAGAGGTCTTCCTTGGCAGTCCTCAGACCAGGACATAGCCAAATTTTTCAGAGGCTTGAATGTTGCAAAGTGAGTACTCCATTTAAACTTGAACCTCTCTTATAAGTATTGCTTTCACTCCTCTCTAACCATAACCAACTTCTTTATAGGGGTGGTGTAGCTCTCTGTTTAAGTCCTCAAGGACGCCGCAACGGCGAAGCTTTGGTTCGTTTTGTAAATCAAGAACACAGAGACATGGCGTTAGGACGACACAAGCACCATCTTGGTAACCGTTATATAGAAATTTATAAAGCAAATGGATCTGAATTTGTTGCGGTTGCTGGTGGCAACAACTCGGAGGCCGAGGCTTTCCTGTCAAGGGGAGCTCAGGTCATTATTCGAATGAGAGGTTTACCGTATGAATGCACTGCCAAACAAGTGGTGAGTTACTATTCTTCACCCACACCCGTTATGTTTTAAGTTTATGATTTACTGACAAGTGTCTATCTTATGCGTGTAAATTTTCAGCTCGAGTTCTTTGAATCAGGAGAAAATTCATGTCAAGTTATGGATGGTGAGGACGGAGTTTTGTTTGTGAAAAAGCCTGATAAAAGAGCTACTGGAGATGCTTTTGTCCTGTTTGCACATGAAGATGATGCATCAAAGGCTATAAGTAAACACAGAGAGCTCATAGGTTCTAGGTATATAGAACTTTTCAGGAGCACAACTGCAGAAGTACAACAGGTAAATTTCAGTTAATATTTTAACAAGTAATTCTAAATGCTTTGTCTAACGTTTTATTTTTTCTTCAGGTTTTGAACAGGTCAATGGATCCCAAAACCTATGAATCAGTATCAGCACCTTCACTTCCTCTGCCAATGCTTCCTCAACAGTTTGTCACAACTGGAACAAGGAAGGACTGTATAAGACTTCGTGGATTGCCATATGAAGCCCAAGTTGAAAACATTTTAGAATTCTTAGGTGACCATGCAAAATCAATTGTATATCAAGGTGTTCACATGGTGTTCAATGCACAGGTAAGAAGTCCTTTTCAGCAGACGAAGTTTCTTAGTTGAACCTAGATTCGAGTTCTCAACCTTTTTTTTCCCACCCAGGGTCAGCCATCAGGTGAAGCTTTCATTCAGATGGACTCGGAGATGAGCGCGGCCGTCGCGGCCCAGCAGAAGCACCACCGCTACATGATCTTCGGCAAGAAGCAACGGTACATTGAAGTGTTCCAGTGCTCTGGCGAGGACATGCACTTGGTGATTGCCGGTGGCATCCCCACGGGCGGACCCGTGTCGCCAGCCAAGGCGGCGGCCACCACCCTGCTGTCTCCCGGTACGTTGGCATTCCCTCCGCCCGGTCCTCCCGGTCCTCCCCCCGCACACCCCGGTACCGGTGTCTTGGGCCACCCTCCCTCCCTGCAGCTTCCCCCCAACTCTGTCTTGGCATGGGATCAGGCTCTCTTCCCGGGCGTGGCGAGCGCGCAGCAGCACATGTTGGCCCAGGCGCAGATGCAGCAGGCGCTGCGGCAGCAGCAGGCGCAGCAGGAGAACCTGTGGCTCGTGAATCAGCTGGCAGTGGTGCAGGCGCAACAGCAGCAACAGCAGCAGCTAGCGGCCGCCCTGGCCGCGGGCTCCAAGGCGGGGGTGGGCCACCAGGTGTGGGACAGCTCACAGCGCGCGCTCATTCCCATCTCGTCGTCGGCCTCGCAGGCCTCGACGGGGGCGGCAGGCTCGGCATCCTTCTCGCTCGCCAACTCGAACAGTGTCCCTCAGTGCGTGTCGAGCAAGGGCGGCATGGGGGTCTCGGCGGTGCCCATGTCGTACTACCCCGGGGCGGGCGGCGGTGCCCACGCGGCGCACGCGGCCCAGTCCGTGTACTTGTTCAACGCGTCGCAGGCGTCGGCCTCGCGGATGCCCCAGTACCACCCCAAGGTGCCTCCGCCCTCCGTGAATGCCAACGCCTCTTCCAATGCCCAAAACTCTATGTCGCCCGCCGGGTCGGGGGGCCTCATGGGGATGAAGCGGTCATGGGAGTCGGCCTTTCCCACCGATTCCGGCCAGTTGCCGTTAAAAAGGCAGTGGCCAGCTCAAACTCCCCAGGCTTCAGCTGCATTATCATATTTGCAATCCTCCCTTCCTCCATACCAACCCCAGTTCTACCCCACCATGTAGATTCCCCGGGCTCCTCCCTGAATCTTCTGCCTAGCGTACTTAAAATTTTGCTCAGGAAATGCTTGAGGTGGAAAGGTAGTCTTATTTCATACTGTCACCTTGAGTTGTTATGTAATGAATGGTGAGCTGGTTATTGTTTCACTCAATCTTCTTTGTACAATATCTTGAATACTGTGATAAGTTTAATCTTTAGGCTCTCATCAAGTTAAACTTGATTAAACAGATTTTTTATTCTTTTGATTTCTTCCTCACTTTCTTTGAGTGGATTAGATTTTGAGAGCTAAGACTTTGTTACTTGTTAATAATGGAGGAACAATAAACTCCAGTTGTGCTCAGAGCAGCTGTTTCACTGCTGCGATAAATGAATAATATTTGCAGGAGTGATAAAAATGTACTTATGCCTTGTACTTACGTCACCTTAAATATTATAATTATACATTCCAGATGCTTTTTACTTTGAAAGTTGTGCTTTCTACCAAGTTAAATATTAAATGACACAGTTTTCAGTGTTGTTTGACCTTTATTTT